TTTTTTTTTTTTTTTAAAGGCAATAGAGATTTCATCTCCAGAGCTGTTACTGCCCCCACTCCCCGGGGCCCGCGTCTCGCCCCACCGCGTCCCCGCAGAGAGGGTGACCCACAGAAACACTCCTGGGCATCTCACAACGAGCAGGCAAGGACATCCCACACTGAAAATGAATGACTGAAATTCTGCACGCCAACCAGGGCACCCCCAACCTTTCTCACACCCCCCAGCGGATGGCACAGGGGGCAGACCCGGCGTCTGTGGCCCTCGTGAAGCCCATCGGACAAGGAACCTGCCAGCTGACCACCCCGGCACTCGCGGCAGTGGTCAGCGGTCAGCGTGAGCACCTCGCTCTAAACGCGGACAGGGAAGGACAGACATCTGGGAAGCATCTGCAACAGGAAGCCAGGGACCAGACAACTGGGGGGCCCAGAGGAAGCAGATAACTCAGGAGCAGAGGGGAAGGCAGACCACCTGTGTCTCCCAGCTGCCCAAGGGCTGAGGGCCCCAAAAGACACCTCCTGGACAACCAGACGTACACAGAAAATAAATCTTGGGAAGGAAGGCTGGATGAGACGGGAAGTCACCTCCCGAAAAGACAAAGAAAACTGGTGGCTCAGGACGGGAGGTTCACATCTGGACAAGACCCGCTCCTCAGAGAAGCCCTTTCAGGAAGCTACGGGGAGGAAGGCTCCGGATCCCGCAACACAGACCGTGGCCTTCGAACCACACCTTGCTTCCCGGCCATCATAGAACCCAGAGCTTGCTGCAAGGCAGCTGGGGACGGCCCCAAGTTTAATTCCAAACACAGGCGCTGTTTCACCAGCAGGAAGCGAGGACACGAACGTCAGAAGCCGGAGGCTGTGCACCTTACCCCGCGGCAGCGGACAGCGGGCCCCGTGCGACGGAGCCTGCCACCGTGACCGGACGTGTGGGCACGTGCAGCGTCGGTGTCCGCGGGGACGCCCAACGTACGGGCTGCAGCACTGGGAAGGGCCCAGGCTTTCTCACGGGGCTAGAGAACGGGGAAGCAGGCTGCTGAGCCTCGAGCTTCGGGGGCCCCGGGATGGAGCAGACAGGCCCACGCCCGATACCAGTAACTGAAAGACCCATTTTCCAGGATGAATCCTGGCACCGGAGACCCCTGCCGTGGTTCCTGGACGCGGACAGGACCCCGAGCAAGCAGCCGGGGCGCCTACCGGGCTTCTGCGGAAACGGCAGCCCAACAGGCCACAAACCCGGCCCACGAGGTGCGACCTTCCCACCCCGCCCCGCATCAGGTGGGACGGGCCACTAGGAAGCGCATCAGCTCCCGGGCCCGCTGCGGACGAGGCCAGGGAGGCTGGTGGGCAGAGATCCTTCCAGAATGCAGATGGAGGGACGGGCCCTGTGGGGCACAGGCTTGGAGAACGTCCGTGACCAGTGAGTGGGTTTCCTGCTCTTCTCTTTCCCAAATAAGAGCTGGGATCACCTGCCCCTGCTTCTGCTGGGCTCAGCATTGCAGCAGGACCACCTGGAGCGCCCTGACAGAGGGACGCGCTTGTCACCAGAGATCCTGGATTTTACGGGCTGCAGTCACCGAGGGGGGCTTGGGGCTGCCTCCTGTAACGACGGGGATAAGTGTTTTTATGTTGGAAGAAGGGACACAGGCATGTGGGTGGTCAAAAGGCGGACTATGACAGCGACAGCCAGTCCCCTGGACACACGTCCTCTCTTGCTCTTACGGTGAACTAGCTGGACAGCTGTGCACACTTCTCTGCCTCTCCTGCAACCAAGGGACCGTGCTGGTCAGTGGGATGTGAAGACTTACGCCCTGAAGAGGAATAGTGTCGCCACTTCTTTCTTTCCCCTTGGCCACAATGCCAGTGTGATGGCAGGAGCTGCAGCAGCCGTAATGGGCCATAAAATAAATGGACATCGGGTAACAGGACAACATAACGGAAAAGAGCTTGGAGCTGCTGTGTCAGCTTAAATTAAGACTGTTATGTGCAGGGGCGCCTGGGTGGCGCAGTCGGTTAAGTGTCCGACTTCAGCCAGGTCACGATCTCGCGGT